TATTCTCTATCCCCCCACACCTATCCCACCCCACCCTCCCCCAACCCTGCCCTACCCCACCATAAATAGAAATATTATTAAGAATATTTTCTTTTCATGTTGTAGATAAAGTACTTTCTTCTTTCATTTCAACAAAATGAGTATTTTTTTTCATGATGTAAAAAAAATATTTTATTTTATTTCAACAAAAAAAAGTACTTTCTTTTCGCGATATTGAAAACGTATTTTCTTTCATTTCAACAAAATGATGTCGTAAAAAGTATCGTCTTTCATTTCAACAAAAAAAATACTTTCTTTTTATGATTTAGAAAACGTATTTTCTTTCATTTCAGCAAAATGATATAGTAAAAAGTATTTTCTTTCATTTCAGCAAAATGATATAGTAAAAAGTATTTTCTTTCATTTCAACAAAATGAGTATTTTTTTCATGATGTAAAAAAGTATTTTCTTTCACTTCAACAAAAAAAGTATTTTTTTTATGATGTAGAAAAAGTATTATCTTTTGTTTCAACAAAATAATGTAGTAAAAAGTATTTTTTTTCATTTCAACAAAATGCGTATTTTCTTTTCATGATGTAGAAAAAATATTTTCTTTCATTTTAACAAAATAAATACTTTTTTTCATGTTGTAGAAAGACTACTTTCTTTTTCAACCAAAAAAGAGTATTTTCTTTTTAGTTATGTAGCACAAAATTCAACGTTTTTGAGTGAAAAAGTAAAGCAGCACATTAGTCCCTTTGGGGTTATATGAATTTTTAAAAGAATNGATAAGGAAAGTAGCATAAAAACGTTGGAAAAAGTAGCATAAAAATATTTCTTAAAAAATATTTTTCTAAGAAATATATTCTACTCCCTAAACAAACATTAGAAAATATTTTCCGGAAAAAACTTTTCACTCACCAACCAAACATGGGAAAATAAGTGATAAAATCATTCATTTTTCATGAAAACATTTTCCTTCGTACCAAACACAACAACTCTGAAAGTTTTAATTAACTTTTCTAAAAAAAATTATAAAATGAAAAGTTTAAAAATAATTTATTAAAATATAGATAAGTTTTTTAAATAGATAAAAAAGAAAAGTATCACCTAAAATAAAATAATAAATTTTATTTCTTGATTCACAAGTCTAAACAAAAATCGAGAAGCCAAACGAATGAAATTTTCCGCCTAGCTTATTTATCAAATGAAGCTAATAGAGTGATTTATCTTTCTAGTGACAAAAAGCTTCTTTAACAAAGTGCAATATTTCTTTTTTAGTTTACCTCTATGCAAATATACAGTATTTCTAGTGATCAAGCACTTTGTGAGTAGGGGCGGATTTAGGGGCGGATGGGTTCACCCGAACCTCCTTCGCTGAAAAATTACATTATATTAAATTTTGAATCTACTTGACACAGTCCAAAAGCATAGTTTAGTGGTCAAGGGGTTCAAAATTTTTGTAAGGTTATAGGTTCAATTCCCACTAGCTATAATTTTTTTAACTTTTTTTTTGAACCCCTTTCGCGAAGATCCTGTCTCCGCCTTTGTGAGTTATGACGTCTATATAAATGTGAGAAACAAGTGTACATAATTTAGTAGCAACTTTTGTGTATTTTTCGAACTTCTTACCTATAATCATATTATTTTAATTTTTTTAAAACTAAATTTATGACCTAATGTTGCCCGTCAAAGTAGTAATAACCAAATAATATCTTGTCCCAAAGTTTTTAAAAAGTATGATTGTTTTTTCCTTTTCCAATTGTTTTTTTAAAATGCTGATTGGTCTCACAGTTTCAAGACTTGTGCATTAATTCTTTTGATTTATCTTCCTTAAAAATGAACCGTTTATTTTTTTCTACCTTTTATAATAACTAGTTTTAGGTGCTAGCTTTACACGTGTACCCTATATCAATAAATATAAAATTGTAATAGATTATTTAAATATTTTTGACAAGGTGGGTTGCTCTAATGGTAAGCATCCTCCACTTCCAACAAAGAGGTTGTGAGTTCGAGTCACCTTAAGAGCAAGGTGGGGAGTTCTTGGAGGGAAGGATGCCGAGGGTCATTTCGAAACAATCTCTCTACCCCAGGGTAGGGGTAAGGTCTGCGTACACATTACCCTCCCCAGACCCTACTAGTGGGATTATACTGGGTTGTTGTTGTTGTTATTCATAGCGTGACGTGTTATTATAAAGTGTCATTCGCAGGTATTTCTAGATTTAATGTTGAGTTAAAGAGTATAATAATTATGGATATTGAGAGAATTTGATGTATTTGCATTTTCGTGTATATAAAAGAAGTGTTTAATTAAAGAGTAACGGACATACTATTGTATACTCAAAGAATCAAGTATAACTTTTCACAAAGTCTTTCTCTAATTTTTTATTTAAAATAATTAACTTATATAACATAACTGTTTTTACTTCTAGGAGTAGTTAAAAACTATAGTTAATAAGAATAAAGAAAATCGAAGTAGCGTTGACCGACATATCGACTCTAGTTATATTTTCATACTTCAGTCTTTCTTTATTTTTATTTTTCCTTTTTACTAAGATAATTAAATTATTGGTTATAGTTCTACAACAAAGAATAATTCAAACACAAAATAAGTAATAGATGTTATAAATATATTATATTATGGATATTCATTTAGTACTCCGTTGTAAATAAGCTTCCTGAAGAAGCTTATCCATATGAGACTCTGCCACAAATATGTTTATCTATTTAGTACTCTATTGGAAATAAGCCTTCTGAAAAAGCTTATTCTTTCGGTACTCTGTTATGGATAAATATTACCCATGGTAGAAGATAATCTATATCTGGTACAATAACAACTTACAAGCAGCTTACACAACAGATTAGAATAGCAGCTTACAAGCAACTTACACAACAACTTACAAGGAGCTTACACAACAGCTTACAAGCAGCTTACACAGCAGTTTGCAGTAGCAGCTTACACAACAGCTTTATTTCTTCTATAAATAGAGGAGTTTTCAGTTCATTATGTACAGAAGTTTGAAATTTGAATAATATATCAGTTTCTCTCTATACTTGTCTTTACTTTACAGTCTTTATTTTATAACACGTTATCAGCACGAGACTCTGCCATCTCGAGCAAATACTTTGAAAGTATCAGAGGTACGAACTTTGCTTTTCTAAATAATGTCAAGTCTTTCTAAACTTGAATTTGTAGCC